TGTCCAAGGACCAAACAAGTGGGTTGGTGAAACGATGGAACAGAGAACAAAGTAGTAAGTAGATGATCAATGATCGATGATCGATGTCATCGATGTGCACAAAAAAACACGTGTTGGGCCCATCAGGACAAGGAATATATATATATAATTATATATATATTATATTACTCTAATATCTTAAATTTATATTGTACTTTTCTAAAGCCTCTAAACTCTAAATGATAAATGATTGAAAACACCATTTCCTGATGCCTGTGTCACATGTGCAAAAACGATGTGACACCAGATGTATGTCATGAGAAGATCCGATGGTAATGGTGCAATGGTGACGGTGATATCACATTTCAATGAGCGCAGCAGCTCAGCACACACAAAAGTGTCCTAAAAGAGTGTCCCACAAGAGTCCGTCGTCCCTACCGAACTCACCTGCCCTCCTGGGGCTCCTAGTTGGAGCTCACAGGTGAGTCACTCCGTTGGCCGGGAGTGGGGAACTTGGGGGATAAAGGTCGCCCTGTGTGCAATACATAGGTGTCTTGGGGCCAACTCATTGCGGGAGGGCAATGTATGACATCAGGGCAAATGGGCTAACGCGCCTGATGGGACATGCGACCTCCCCCCAAGTAAGTACGGAAGGCCACCAACAAGAGTGTCCCGCAAGAGTGTCCTACACGAGTGTTCCACAAGAGTTTCCCCTAAGAGTGCCCCACAAGAGTGTCCCACAAGAGTGTCACACTGTGACACCGTTTCTTGGAAACACTTTTGATTGTTCATCAACTTGCAAGTTGCAAGCGGGTCAATATATGAATGTTTTTTTTGTCCGGTTCTCATTGGCCATGTGGACATGTTGCATAGCAAGTTGCGAGTCATATTGTGTGTGTTTCTTTGATGTTGCTGAAGAAAATTAATATGTGTATATAGTATATAGAGATACGTATACAGTCAAACAGATGGGAGATGATGTTTTGACAGGAGATGTGATGGGTGGGCGGATGGAGAAGTGTGGTGGTAAGCCATTGAACCAGTTGAACTACGGTCTGTGGTGAGGGTCCAGAGTGAAAACCAATGTAAACAAAGTAGAGGTGATGTTAGAGGTCCGCGATGCAAAGAACAACAAGAAGTGGTTCCGAGTATGAGACCCCCTATGGTCTTCTATATCTTCAGATTATCAATGGGCCTGCAAGACCCCCTAGTACACAAACATTCTTACTTGAGGTAAAATGTGTTCTTGCAATAACTCCATCGTTAGTAGTAACTAGAAGCCTCATCCATGGAATCATCAACTTCACATTTTTTAACATTTTATCCTGACTTCAGGAGAATGAGGAGAGCAGCTCAAGTGACAGCAGCAGCAGCTCATCAGAGGTGCCTGAGCCATTGCAAAAGAGGGCACGAACCAAAGCTGAGGGGAAAGCGAAGGCCAAAACCAAGGCGAAAGCAAAGCCCAAGGCCAAAGTGAGTACCTCCAAGAGGTCTCAGAGCGGCTCAATCACCGCCGCATTTGCCAAAAAGGCAAAGAAGTGACAGAGTCCTTTTTTCAGGGGTTGCATTCACATGCAGGCCAGGATTGGGACAGTGAAATGATGGAGATGTGTAATATATATATATATCTATCTATGCAAAAACCACCTTTTCAGTACAAACCTGAACTAATAGTTCAAGAGCACAAACAACTGTTTGGGTGTCCCAAGGCCCATGTGTGAAGTTGGGGATTGGAGCAGGGTAAAAACCTTGCCTGAAAACAACCTGTGAGGCCGCGAAATAAGGTTTTTGCGCGTGGGACGTCCCCTGGATTTCCTTTTTCCAACGGTCTTTTCTAATTGTCTTTCAAAAACCAGGTTCCTCAATTTTGGGAGATGATCAGTCAGATGTAGCATTAAAAAAAGGCTTAATCGCAGACCACTTTCTTAATTACAGGCTTCAACCCTATCCTGTGCAAGTCCACACCACTGGGTTCCCAAATTCAACTCGCTGAGATGGTCTTGAAACATTCCAGCAGGACCAGAAGCATTGACCTAGACAATAAAAGCATCCCCGTTGCTACATCGTGAGGCACCTTAGTCCTCTACTGTCAGCATAACAAAAGCAATACCGTATATGAAATGCACTGTAATTGAATCTTGGAGTGAACCTTTATGCTGTTCCTGGGGGATCTACACATTCGGACCGATCTCGATCAGCTATTCCTGACTCAAATACATCACATAAGACAAACAGGCCATCCAAAATCAAAGACAAGCATAGATGACATGTTTGTGTCATGTATTTTTCATTCATGATGTGTTGTTGTTTGATTTCTTTAATAACCTGAATGAAACTGAAACTGTCAAAGTCATTGCAAGCAGTCTGCTTATGAGTGACATACAATGAGATTACAATGAGGCGTGCCCAGCACGCATCTTGGCCCAACAAGTACAATAAAGGTTGTGCCTTTTTCCATGCAACGGTTTGACGTTTGCCAGGTCATTTTGCAGTTGATTCACTGTTGCGTCAGAACAGCAGCGGACAAACGAACCACTACAAAATGGGTTTGGAATGCTTAAGCTTCCACCATTTGATCACGTACGTTTAAGGGATAAAACAAAATATTCGAGGCCAAAAGGATCTGGTGGACGTAGCAGCGGCAAGTTGTTTCTCTGCCGATCAGGTGGTCTCCAACAAGGTGGTCTCTATCCATGCAATCCTTGCAGACCTGAAAACAGGTTTAACGCTAGGTCTACCCCAAGGATCGGCAAATTGCTGCTCAGGTGTCTGGAAGGCTTTTTGCATTTCTCTGGTGTGAGACCTGTTTGGTCAGATTTACGGAGAAGGGGCATTTCCCCTGAGCCAACTGATCAAACCAACTAGACTAAAAGTCTCCAAGTCAGCGAAGTCCGCCAAAGCACCAACAGCGCAGCGCAGTATGTCACACCTAAACAGTCCACACGAACATCCAGGAGGGCCACGGATCTTTTTCCGTTCCCTCACGCCACCATCACCATCACCTAACAGCTAGAGACACCAAACAAGGATGTGCCGCAATACATGTTTAAGAGCAGAAGTGAACGTGCTGGGGTCAATGATATATACATATATATATATATACATACTATAGGTAGTATACAGTACTGTACACACGCATGCTCAAAACCACCACTTGGTCGTCCAGTCCTGGCAATCTCTCGTGCCATCAAATTGAAGACCAACCGATGTTCCACATCCAATCTGGCAAAGGCTGCCAAGTAGTGCCTTTGATCATTCAAGACAGTCATGGTGAGCGTGTGGCGCACGTCGCGCCAACATCAAAGCAAAACCAGCGCAAGCATCTGTTTTGAAGGCTTGTGGATACAAGAGCAGAAAGCAACTTCTTTGCCACTCCCAAACAATGCAATCTCGATGTACGTCTCTGGTATGCAAGGGGTCAAGAACCTTCAAGAACCCTCCAAAACCCTCTCAACCGTGCTGCTTTCTCGCGGTGCTACCCGCTCGCGGACGGGCGCTGGCTCTCCGAACCACGGGACGGGACGGGACGCTGGCGCTCCGAGCCACGTGATTTCGTTGGCACCGAACTGCCCCAAGATCGCCGGAGTGCACTCGGCGATGCGAAGCATCATGTCCCGATCGCGGTAGCGCATGCGAGCAAAGGCCGCCAAGACCATGGACATGTCCTCGGGTTTGTGCCAAGGAAAAAGGAAAAAATAAGTTGGAAATAGAATGGAACATCACAAGCATGATTTAGAGTCAAAATATTGCACCATTATAATTAACAAGTTTAAGGGAGCTTTAAGTTTATCATGTTGCCACGTTGTTATAACAGATCCGTGTGCAACATTGGACATGCCGGTGCCTGTGGGACTTTTGTGCAGGCTTCACTGTTCAGAGCGAGCTTGCAGGGATCTTCGCTTCTACTGAGTGCTTGACATATCTCAGCACCTGTTGCCGGCTCGCGCTCACCTATTGCTTGGCTCGGCACTGGGGGCATTAGATGTTTCATGTGGCTCAACCAAGGCAATTGCTCCCAGAAAGGCTATATATGTCGGACATTGGATCCTTGCAAAACCAAGTTTCTCTACAAACACGTGGTTGTCATTGGTTTTCAGTATTCCTGCTAACCTTGAAGCACACATGGCATTCGGCAGCATGTGGCACGCCCCAACACTGCGCAGGACCATCCGTGGAAGCAAAAAATGTACTTCGTGGAGGCCTACCCAGAGCTGTGCAGAACAAATGCCGGGCATGACAAAGGAGGAAATCTGTGGTACGCGTATCTTCGGAGGACTATCGCGTTGATGCTGAGTATGAATCAAACCCCCAAACAATGCAGAGTGAGTGGATGTGATCAGCATTGATAAGCCTGAACTTCTGAAACTAAGCCGGGTGAAAAGGAAGCACCCAGGGCTGCCCTGTCCAACAACAATGCAGCAACGACAACAACACCAACACAATGCGTTTCATATCTGTTCATTTGACCAAGTTCAACTCATTCCTGCATAGTAGTCTGATTACTACGTCGTCGTAATCCAAAGCAGAAGACATGTGCGTCTACTTACATCCACCTGCAGTACCACCCCTAGGACCCAGGAGTGTACACCGCCTTGTGAATTTAAATGCAGCCCTCCAAAGGCATCCAATGCCTTAACCAGCACCGACAAAAGAACACACACACACTCCTCAAGAGTATGACCAGACTCTCTGTTTTGTTCTTTATATCAAATGTATGAATGTTACCAGTGGTAATAACAATAAGATCATATCATCGTTGGTTCCTCTTGTTCTTTCCAAACCCTTCTGAGCGGAGGCTCGGCTGGCTGCATGTTGGGCGCGACCACCACGGCCCGCGCGGACAAGGAGCGCCAAAAGCTGACGTTCTTCCGCTGTTCTTTGGCGGCACCTGGGAGAAACCGTGCACTGGCGGCACTGGCGCCGACGGGTGGAATGTGGTGGAACTGGGAGGCTTGGGCCAGCGGGTGAAAGTCAAAACCGATATAGTGAGAGCGAAATGAAGCTACACAAACGATACGGTGATAGCGAAATTACGCTACTAATTACGCTATATCATCACATCACACTAAACATGTTTCGCAAGAAGGTTGCCTCGTTGCAGGTTTCTGTAGGGTCACCGGCCCAGTTTGGTCATGTAACTCAAACGTGTTCTTTTGCTCTTCTCAAATTTAGACTTGACCCTCCTACTACCACCCTTGTCACTACACTCTGAAACTAAACCTGTACTGCCAATTTATGATATATAGTGTGTGTGTGGATATTCAATGGTGGATCAGTGGATCAAACACACGTCCCACTCCGTGCCACTCCACCACTGTGTGCATCCTCAACTGTGTCCATCACATGTGCTGTTGGCTTGTAGGCACCGGGAAGGTCAATGAATCCCACCTCAAACATCTGGGCTTCCAATGGCCTCACAATCGCTGGTTGCAGCTGGTTGCAGGTGGTTCCTATGCAGCCGGAGCCAGTCTGACTGGGGAGGAAAGCGAAATCCAAGTCAAGGCTTCACCAATGCCCTGGGTGCAAGGCATTAGTGACTCGAATACTGGCAATGTCAAAATGGGTTGAACTTGATTGTTCTGGCACGGGGCAGAACAAATGCCCCTAGGACGACCAAAGCCATATCTAACTGATGGTTGTGGTAGCTGCGATTGCCAGTCAGGACGGCAGAAAGCTCGGTTCTACAGTTCTATATAGTGATCCCATATGATAGAACAGTGAATCCTCAAAATAACCTTAAAGTACAAAAGGTTTTGGAAATCGTGTTCTACTATGTTCTATCGCTATCTCGTTGGGGACCATTCAACTACTTCTTCAGTTGTACCTAGCCTCATGCCTTCCCCTTGCCAATGCAGCCAAGAATCGGAACGCCTTGATTGGCGATAGCTACAGAAGGGTCCAAAACGTTTCAAACTGGGCGTGTAGAGTGGAGAGGCATGATATGTATTATACAACAATTAAATGTAATCTCCAACCGAACCTGCCGCTTTCAAACTGCAGTTGTTTTAGGCGTGCATCAGGCACAACAAATCGATATAGAATAGGCTGACTGTAGGAGTGCACCACTGCAGGAGTGCAGGGCAGAATTGTGCCATTCTAAGGGTCACCAGCAAAGATGTTGGAAGCCAGGCGGGTGTTCCCGCCTCCCCACGGAACCAGCAGCCAATGGAGTAAGTCGAACGTTCTGAGGGGGTATGATATGACATCCGGCCAACAAGTGGTTTGCTTCCATGTTGCAAGTGGGGGACTGCCACTCAAAATTCAGCTGCCCGAGCTATGTGCCACGCGGCCAGCTTCGCCAACGCAAAGGGGCTTAGCCGGGCGATGGGGTCCTGGAACATTTCTAGAGCCACATCGCGTGCATGCATCAAACCATTCATGATGTGGAACACCAATTCTAGCCACACTTGTTGTGGCCGGTCCCAAGGTCAGGCACCTCATCCCTATCGTGCCTGATGATCTATACGAGTCTTGTGATTGGTGATAGGCACCATTTGATGGCTCGCATCCACACATCTCCAGGCCACCGCTCATCGCTTCCCCCAAAAGAAGACCCACCACCGAAGAAAGCCGAAAGCCGACCCACCGTGTCAGCAACCTCAAAACTGCAACAAGTCAAACCTTTGAGTATACGACAAATGCCTGTTGTTGTGTACTTGTCTTTCCTGGAGAATATGGACCACTCTCTGAGTCTCTAAGGACCACTCTCTGAGTCTGGGTTTTGATTTCTCTGGTTCTCTCCGGGTCAACGGCGAGATCTCGCCCGTCCTCGCCCACCGTCGCATGGTCCAACAGCGCACGGCACAGTTGCGACCTGCCACGGTCACTGATGAACGCCACGGACCGGTCACCCGGTTTGGATGTTCACAAGAGCCCGTTTTTGCGAGCCTGCGCATGCCGCTGGCATCACGCAGTCCCGCGCAGGAGGGCGCGGGGAGGTGCCGGACACGAGCAGTGCGCTGACAGCCGCCGCGACGTCGAGCGGTGTAAAGGAAGAAACGACTTGGAGACTCCAAGATGGGTGTCTGTTTCCAGTTGAACAGGTGTCTTGCTATCTGCTATCTGATTTCGGGTCTTTTTGAGGCACAGGCCGTCACAGGCCCAAACAAAACAACATGAACGTGTTGCTAGGACACTTCAGGTCTTTTCATTAAACAACCATGGTGAATCTGGCTGCAAATGCTTCTCCGTTGGCCGATGTGCGCCACCATGATGTTTGAACAAAAGAAGTTTCTTGCAGGTCTTAAGAGGCATCTGTTCATGCGGCCACGGTCTGAAGAAAATCATTCTGTCCCTTGGCCCTGGACATGGCTATCAATCAACTGCTGCTATGTGCCGGTCATCCCACCAGCACCTTGAGCCTGTGCACACCACAGCCATGCATACGAGCCAGTGGCTTTCGGGTCCGCCGGTTTGCACATCCCCTGTTTTCATTTGAATCGCTGCCTCCAGGCTGGCTACTTATCACAAGACACTCCGTGGAGTGGACCTCGCCCAGGAAGGAGCATAGCAAGGAGCCCATGCAGGTGTCTCCAGCACCTCAGCCAGCGAAAGCGCAAAGCCCGCAGGCTCCACGCGTTCGCAAAAGCCCGGAGTACTGAGCAGCAGCGGAGACTGGTTTATACTGGTTTGCAACTTTTGGGGATCTTTTAGGGATGCTTTGCAATTCTTGTGGGAGCCTTCAATGTTTTGGGATGCCTTGCCCGTTGACAGCTGGGATGAATGTGGCTCGCAGATCAGGACGTGTTAATTACAGCGCATTCGCCTACAGCACCGATGTCACAAAGTATGTTTCAAAATGTCCCTCGTATATGTCCGAGCTGGCTGACGGATGAGGATGAGGATGAGGATGAGGATGAGGATGAGGATGATCATGAGGAGGAGGAGGAGGAGGGTGATGATTCATCATCATCATCATCATCATCATCATCATCATCATCATCATCATC